TCAAACTCATGGCTGAAATTAGCCTAGTGTCGAGTCTAACAAAAGATCGCGGCAACTAAGATAGGTTTGAAAGAGACATGGCAGTTGAAATAGGTTTGGGCACCAGGCTAACCTGAAGTGCAATCGGGAATATCTACATCCATGGAGCGAAATAGCCACATCTCTTTGACCAGTGAGGTAAGGCGACAGGCTACAGTCAAGGCTTCTGAGGATACACCGCAAGTTGTGTGTACAGAATGTCATCGAGGTCAACATGGCTTAGCAACAGACCGAATATAAATTGCCTATAAGCGACGCTGCAGTAAACACCGGGCTAGAATTTCTCCAAGGTCAAATGTTGTAAAATGCCTCATAAAACATTGTAAGCACACCCTCTCCGAGACGGTATAGCACGACTGAGGATGTTTGCTCTGTCACCATGGCAACCGCACCTGACTCACCCTCTCGGTATTTTACGACAAGCCGCGATGTGGGCGAGGTCGTCTCTCTCGGTGCATGCCACCTCAGCGTGGGGCCCGCCCCCTTCCTTCAGAGGCCCCGGCCTTTGCTTTGGTAAAGGAATTTGATGGGACCACTGGACCTTACCCCTGTGAGACTAGGCTCAGTCTGAGACTCCCTGATTGCCCACCCACCACATGGTTTTCATTGACATGACTGGCGGACCGTCAGTGTAACATTTGGCACTCGTTGAAATGGGCGGGGCTATTTTTCAAGCACGCTGACAGAGCATCGGGTTAGCGTCAGGTCAAAGGTCCTGTACGAACTTTTCTGTGGTAGCTAGCGACAGGAGAGATCGAGTTGGCGGTGGATAATACTCGAGCTCCGGCAATTATATTAAACTTGCTCCACCCACAGGTATTCCTTCATTCGTGTTTTTATTGACATTCTAGGCAACGGTTCTGGCAATCTATTATTGATATACTATCCAGACAAAACTGGCTCGTCCCGGTTGACGCAAGCGTTCCTAATGAAAAGCCAGAGTGACTAAAAAGACGCTTGAAAAAGATCATAATTCTCGTGGGATCGTCCGTGCCAAGAGGCCCAGACCAACTTAGCGATAAAAATTGAGTTAGACGTACAAGGCTGTCGGAAGCAAGAAAGAAATACCAAAGCCAATTGATTGTGTAAATCAGTAGTAGGGCAAGGTCGACCTCCAGACCCAGGGACCGAAGTATCAACTGGGATCCAGTCTATGCGCAGGAGAGCTCTTCGACACCGAGTCTAACCACAGTCAGTGGAGTCTAACATACCTCCAAGGAAATTTTGCCTCAGCCAAGATGGAACGCTCTTTAGCAATTTAACTTGAATTCAGTCGGGCAAAATCATATCACCGGGGTAAACTTGGTCCGCCGCCACTGCCCTGGAGAGACTGGTGACCAATACCACCAAGGATGAGACATCAATCTTGAACTGAAGAGATTCCCGCCATTCTCTTCGCGAAGGCTGTCATCACCGAGGCTTGTATAAGCATGGATGATAGGAGGAACAGGAACTAAATAAACCGAAGCATGTAAAGAGACAGTCATCATTTTGGTCATGACGGCGAGTTTGTTATTTTTTCCACTGTTCTAGTTCTACACCCACCCTTTTCGCGACTCCCGTCATTCAAAATCATAAATCTTTTTTCAGATGTCTAACCCCTAGAGACAAAATATGAGGGTACAAGTACAGACAGCACCCAGGAGAACGTCATCTCAGCCTCAGTTAGATATAAAATTTCGGAAGTCAGTGAGGTCGAATGTAAAAAAAAATTGTCAACAAATCACAGCATAATATTCATGAACTAAGGCAAGTAAGAATTGCTGTTACTGTGGGTAAAATTTCCCGCGCGAGTGGAGAAAGGCTAGACATGTATGGAATTATAAAAGAATGACAGTGGGCTTTATGTGTTTGTAGATCAGTGGCCATGGTAATAAAATATATATATTACGGGCGTGCCCGGATTAGGTGATATTGGAGAGCGTGAACGTGGAATGTTAATCAGTTATTGCATCGCCCCTGATTGTCTCTATTTTTGGCACTGAATGCAGCATTTGGGACAACACGTGCTGAAATCGTTTTTCAATGTCAACGTCGTTCGGGGAACTACCTCAGTGGCCAATATTTCGCTCCCGGCGAGGGGAGGACAGATCGATCATGAAAAGCACTGCCGTAAAGGGTCACGCCGGTGGACATCCTTCCACAGATCCTGTGAAAACTTTCTCAACGGCAGGAATACCTTACAACACGAATCAGCAGCAGAAATGTATGTAGGCGCAGGAAGTGACTCAACGCATACATGTTTACAATGTTTGTTGATACTTCATGTCCACAGCAAGTGTAAAGGTCAAAGCACTTATTATCTCGATGATAACGGAAGGTGGTGGGCGGAACTAGAAGGGGGCAACAGACTGATAGAATATCACGCACGTCGGACGGTGGGGGGGGGGGTCTGTCAGAGCTACAGGCTGGGTTTCCTACTGTCTGTAAGCTAGTATAGCTAACAGAACCAACCCCGCTGATTTCCTGCCTGAATTCAATTTAAGCTGAGCTGGGATGAGACCAATTTCTAGCGCCCAAGAGCCTGCGTGGGCCCTAACAATAGTCTGGATTCCAGGTTAGGCGAGGGGTGTCGACGAACACATCAATAAGCAGGTTGCAGTATGAGCTCGGATGATACATGCGAACGTCATTACCGCGTGGTGCAGCAGAAATGTCATCGGATCACCCGATTCAATCTCATTGGCTCTTATATTGGACATCTCAGGGGTGAACCTGGCCTGAAATTGGGCTCATGGGATGATCATACTCACACCCAGACTACAAAATGTAGCTGGCAACGACATACTGCACGGTCATACAAGAAGGCCATCATCTCTACGTGGTCAATACTTTGGGTCAAGCTTCAGATCGATCAAAACCTCGCAGGGGCCATGCTGAAAATTGGGTTTTGAACAGTCGTGGCTGGGGGAACTTTCTGTCGAGAAAGGAGAAAACGCCCAAGTGGAAGGATAGTGTAATCAGACATGAACGTGTAACTGTTACATAATCAGTGGAGATAAAAATTACATTTTAAATCTCAGGTACGAACATAGCAGGTGCGATACAGGCAATGAATTTTTTTCACCCCACCCCCCGTAAGGCTCTCCCTGCAATGATAACTTTATTCTGGATTTTCATCTGACATGTTTCAATCCTCTGGAAGTTGCCTACGTGTACTGCCACACTTTTTATATACCCTTGATCTAAATCTTCAGTTATGGCCTCTACCATTTTTGTGGTCTGACTGTAACACGCAGTTGTCATGTATGGGGGGGGGGGTGTTCATAGCCCTACCTTTGCCATGGGGTCAAGTTCCTGGAATGATCTACGGAAGTTTGACATCACTGCGGGCAAGTCGCCAACATTTGGGGCCCACTTATGGCGGGAACAACCCCCACTCCCGATGACTTGTCGCCCTATTTTAGTACACGTAAGATAAACGAAATATGGTATGTCGGAATAATGACTGAATGTTTCAGTACTAAGAATGGCAGCCTTCGCAAACTAATAGCTGTGATCATCAACTTCAATTATACCAGCGAGGTGGATACGATGTGAAGCTGACAGGTGTAGCAGACGGGAACGGTAACCATGGTAACAATGTAGCGTCTACGGCAGACGACATTTTGGATGTGTTTTTCATTCTCGACCGGTCATCTTTGCCGCACCAGCCTCAGATACGTGACGTTTACATACAATAAGGAGGCGGAGACATACTTTCTGTGGTGATATAATATCACAGTTACTAATCAACGTAGCGTGAGAGCGCAGACAGGTGCAATGGGCGGGGATGTTGCAATGTATAAGCTGTGTCTTGAACTATGGCATGTTGGCTTCAATTATATGGCACCTTATGATATTCTCAAAGCACAGTATAGGCTTGCAAGACCTGTTTTCGACAGTAGTCTAGAAATGAATATGTAGCGGAAAAACACATTACAGCAAAAATAAATGCTTGCCATATGCTGATGAAATTTTATCGCTACCGTGTAGTCACAACACAATGTTGAGAGTATATGCTTGATGGAATTCTTGGGATCGCCCACCCTGGCCTCCCGTCGTTACACTACCGCCTCAGGACCTATTCCCACGAGAAGACGGGACCCTCTAGCACGGATGACCGAAGGAGGGTACGGGGTTGCTCCTTCATTCTCCCGAGTCCTCTTCAAGCAGGGGCAGAGACAAGCGAATCTTCAAACGAGCTCCGTATATTTAACACATACATGTGGAGGAAAACCCCGCCATTTTGCAACCCAGCCACGTTCAGATATAACATCTACACGCTGGGAATGACTGGTACATTAGGGAGGAATCTTGGCTCGGGTGAGAGGGTTGTGGGGAGTGTACAGGGCAGCAAAAATTCCTGGGATGGCTAAATGCTGATATTGTCGATAAGTACAGAAGTTCACATTACTGATGAGGTAGTCATTTGGAAGAGTTGCCTTAGAACGTGGGTGACCATGTGAAATAAGTTCGCCATAAAGCTTCATATAGCACAAGTATTTCATGTACAGAATATGTAGAAAGGGAGTTGGAACGCCTTTTGATGACTAATACATCCGCCCAAGCTTGCCGAAGCTGAACTTGCCTTTGTATGCAGTTCTCATAAGTCTGAAAAACTGACATAAAAGGTTTTCCCAGCGATAATCAATATCATGAATAAAGGTAGCGTTCTTAGCATAACCAAATGGGCGGATCTTAGTTAGACCCCGCCCCCTTCGCATAGGCTTCGGCAAATGCTACTGGTCTTTGCGTCGTAAGGCCTCTCCCTGAAGTCCCAAGTGAATATAGCTAGATTGGTTTAGTTTGATGAGAAATTGCAAGAGTATGTGATACTTGGCAGTGCCCTTACGATAACGGCCGAGTCACGAATGGGACGTCTGGTGTCCCATATACATTACCCAACGCGTCCCGTTCCACCAATGACGTGCCTTGCCGTGCGGAATGATTGACAGGGAGTGGGCACACGGATGAACTTTAACAGCGTGCCTTGAGTTCCAGGCCTCAGCTGCACGGTCGAACGTAACGGTACCGGGCAGGCGCGAGAGAGCAGCCGCTGATAACGACACCGTTTTCAGACCAGACAGATCGCTGCACAGAGCAGGAGTGCGTCCACAGTCGCATCCCCTGGCTTCCATCCTCCCCTCAGTAGCCGGCTGAAAGAAGAGTTTCCGTTGGAAGCAAGCGTACAGCAAACAACAGTCTCAACATGAGCACTACTACCAAGAAGGTGACCCGCACCATCATCACGTCCTCGTCCGGCGGCGGTGCCGGTGGCGGCGGCGGCAGAGCTACATTCAGCTCCTCCAGGCTGAGCGGTGGCGGCGGCCGTATTCGCACCGGCGGTATAACATCACGCCGTAGCGTGGGCTCTTCTTACTCAGCCGGCGGTGGCGGCCGCGTCAACGCCGTCATGGCTGCAGGGGTGATGGCTTCAGTGGGAGGGCCGGCCGGTGCGCTACAGACCCTCTCCGACGCTCGCATGACCCGCGCCCACGAGAAGCAAGAGCTGTCACACCTGAACGACCGTTTCGCCTCCTACATCGACAAGGTGCGCTACCTCCAGGAACGCAACTCCAAGCTGGAGGCACAGATTAAGATCCAGGAATCCAGGGAGGCCCCCAACATCAAGGATCTGTACGAGAAGGAGCTCCGGGATCTCCGAGCGCTGGTGGATGAGCTTTCCAACGACAAGGCCCAGCTGGAAATCGAGAGGAACAACTGGCAGGAACAGGCAGAAGAGTACAAGGGAAAGTAAGTCTTGTTTTCTTCATGTTATTTCTATGCCCTTTACCCAAGCTAAGTATGCTCCGAGAGACCTTAAGTGTTTACTCGCTAGTATTTTGCCCCCTCTTACTGGATGGTCCTGCAAATTTGCTACCATGTTGAGTGTGTTTATTGCTGTTTAATCTGATTTGATAAACATGTATAATTCGCTCCAGAATCAGTTCTATCATTGATCATTCAGTCATGTTAGTCTCTATGCCCTCTGTCTGACCGCCCCCTTTAAAAAATGATACGCCCCTAAATGTCCCTGCTTGCCTTTGGGAGGGGGACGCATATGGGGGCGATTCAGCAGATACACTGAATGTATATACGTTTAGATAGTTGCATATTACCAGCTTATGAAATGAGATTGTCTGCAGTGCTGTTGCATATACATGGCGACTTTGAACAGTGTTTTTCCATGTGTTAGATAAAAACATGTCAGGAGCAAATACTACTGCGTAGCGCCCTTCAAGGCCGAGTGTTTTTGTTTGTGAAAAACGACACTTGCCGGCTATGTGATCCCCACAGCATGGAGTAGATTTTTCATAAGCAATGTCAGTTGTTGAATGTGTCATTGTTTCATTGGTCGTTTTGTTGGCTGACGAAAATGTACTCTCCATGTATATATAACAGGTGCATGAATATTTCTTACATCATCCAGTCCAAGGTGCTTTGTGACTTGAGTTGACCGCCTTTGCTGTCAGGCAATCTGAACATCCTTTAAATCTAACACTGCTTACCCTAAGCAAGGTCTTTTGGTGCAGGTCTAACGTACGTAACTCATTCTTGGCATTTTAAGAAATTCAGACAGAATCAGTGGTGCCATAATTTGCCCGATGCACGAGTCCCGCCCCCTTCTCCATACATCTGTCCGAGTTCCTCAGGGGGGTTAATTTTCGAGATTCTTGTCATAGACAGAAGCGGCTCACTGTACACTGTAAACTACATTCTTGAAGAAATGTACAGTTTAGACGGAAAGGAATCTTCATTAAGGGATGTTGTTTGTTGTTCGTTGGCAACTCGCCTGTCAAGATATGCATGTCCTACATACATGATGCGAGGGAACAAATCCAGTGGGGGCGTAGCCATGCCCGAGCTGTTGTTGACGCACCGACACCATGTAATGTTCCTTTGTTAGGGGGCACTGCTGTGACCCCGTTACACCTGTTACTAAACAAACAAGGTGTCCAGACATGGCTGGGTCCGTAATAAAACGTCAACAAGTCTACCTTTAGAAGGGAAAAGGTCAAAGAGGCTCGCTGAAAGTGCCAAAGTGGGCGGGGCCGGTATGGAGAAATCAGACGATACGCCCACGGCATGGCGTCTCGTGTCCAGTTATTCTCTACAGCTAGCTTGGAAAGGTCTCGAATCGCTATTCAGAGTTTAAGACATCTACGTCTACCTTTCTGTTTCAAACCCATGGACCATAAGACGGTTGCCGTGGTGCAATGCAGTGCTTTTTAGTAAAATATTGACAGAAGGAAACCGCAATGATACGGTGGAACCGGCGGTGTCAGCGCAACGGTATGCAGGGCCCATCGATTCGATATGCAAAACGGGTTTCATATGGCTTCTAAGCACCAGGGCAGATACATATGCAGAGAATGGCGTGCAAAAATAATCAGCCCATGTAAGACTGCAGAAATCACTCCCCTGCAGTATCGATTGCTTTGAATAATAGATGGTTATCCCCTCAAGTTCATTGGGTCTGTCCACTCAAAAAGTATTAGCGCTGAAATCTGGATGCGCTTTGAGAAAAATGACGTCTGACTTCATTTATATTTCATTGCTATTTCCTGCAATCTTCATAAAGAAGGAATCGGTAATGTGTAATGGCCTATTGAAAGCAGGAAAATATTTGAACGTTCTCGCGCCATGTCTCGTGTCATGTGGTCAGATTTGTGCAGGTTTTGTCAGCTCCCTTGTGGTCTTTTTTCGTGGGGAAATTTTCAGCCCTCTACAGTGCCACACCCTTGATCTAGACCTCTCGCGCCATGCGACTATTCCCAAGTGTTCTGCATGTATTCATATCACGTCTTTAGACAAAAGAGCGCAATAAAAATCCCATATTTGGCTCGATTCCCCGTAGACATCTTGGCATAACGTTTTTTTTCTTGCCACGCCTTGCTCCTGTGCAGTGATTTTCCCGGGTAAACCGGCAGAGAGAAAGGGTGTGTCAGCCTCAGCAGTCACGTACCGCCTGCCCTTGACCGTGCCCCCTGGCTCCCACAGTGCCCCGCAGACGCACCTATTTCTGTCCGATGACTACATCGATGGTAATCATCCTGCAGTGCGATCAAATCAGGACTATGCATATGTCTATAACCATCTACTATCGAGAAATTTCCAGGGCGTCCCTTCCACATCATTATGCGCAAACGATGACCGAATTCTCCTTCTGGCAAAGGGCTAATGAATTCTAACGCGTTTTGATGCCTTCATACATGGTGATAATTCATCATAAGTTGAATTATGCTGATAATGCCCTACAAATGCTCCCGTGACCCGATTACTGTACTGCGTTCTTAATTGGATCCTAAAGCTTCTGCTTCAGGTTGCTGTGCGCCTTGCAGGGTCCTAAATAGGCTTTCAGGAGATAACCATGTAGAAAAGTCAGCTGTTACGCTTCAGCATAACACACTCTGATGAGACCACTGATCCCATTTCTTCTACATTTTGGCATCTTGCTGTTTCCCCGTGAAACTAATATGCCACACGCCGTGATCATGAAGCGCCGATAAAGCAACAAGGTCACCCCTTGATACCTGAAACGTGGGAGGATCCTTTCTAAATTGGCTTCAGTTCTTCATTTTTTCAAATCACCGGAGGGAGAGCATTTTGTAAAGGTAAAGGGGATGGTTCCAGCTTACGAACGCAAGAACCCCCCCCCCCAACTTTTAATCCCCTGAAATCTCGTGTTCGACTAAAGGGATTCGATTACCAAACGCGGTTGTGGTCCTTCGCACACCGTGACCTAGATCTTACGATTTATGTCGATATGTACGCCCTACTTGCTTAGGCGAAAACACCTATCGGGGTCACTGACCTCCCGTCTCCCTTTTCTTCTCTGTATTTGTTCAATACCATTCGACATTAGCACGACGAAAGAAATTAATTGTCAGTTAAGAATCGGTTCGAATATATCGTGACAAAAACATGACTTTCGAACTCTTCGAACTTTTTTTTTAGTCCGGAATGGTTCATGTTTTTTGTTTACTCTTCACTGAACAACAAGGCTACACGTGCTCTATAGTCCAATGTCCGGCTTGTTGGATTGACCTAAATACATAATTCTAACGGGACCTCGACCGATTTCCGCCACTTCAAATGTTTTCACAAGGCTGAATTCCTGAATTCTTGTCTAACATTTTTAGCCCAGTATGTTTGACAACCGGTAGAAATTAAGAAGAAAATACGAAATATGTTTTGTTGGTAAATCTACAAAATATGTTTTGTTGGTAAATATTTGCCAAGGCAAGAGACGCACCTGTCAAAAGGCCATTGACCCTTTCGATCGATCGGATCGAAGGGCACATAAAAACTTGTTCTTTAATACTAAAATCAGAATTACATGATCATTAATTTGCACTATGCAAACGATGACAGGCACTTCGCATGAAATTACCAGCAGCAATGGATCCTGTCGAAAATTATGGTAATTCGCTTTATGTTAACCCCCGGAAAAAAATATGTACATGCACTGAAAAAAAATAGATAATGTCAAGGCGTCATCTATTTCTGAACACAAGGAACGTTGCCAAAAAAAAAGCTGTCGAAAAATTGTAAAAACGCAAATAGTCCCTCCCCCAATGTAAACCTGTACTGTCCGTAATAGGAGCTCTATTGGGTCTGGCCACTTTGATCATTAATTCTACAGATGTGACATTTGACCTGCGACATAAGACTGTTAATGAGAGGACCCTCGTGAGACCTGTGGCCCCATGCTTTCCCAATCACATCGCTACCAAAACGGTTCCCGGTTGCAATTTTTTTATACCAAGGTTATCGAATTCGCAGAGAGCAATCCGTCCATCAATCATCACGAGTGCAGATGTTCAGAGGCCAGGAGCTAGGGCGGGGTGCTTTCTTTAAGCAGAAATGATGCTAAATTTTGCCATCACAGGAAATGAGATTAGATTTGTCTAACGGCTAACGGTGAAAACAGGTGCAGCGGATACAAGTGTCTGGCCCGACTCTAGTGTCGCTTCTCTTCGCAGTCTTTTGATGGCTACAACATTTAGCACATAAGATGGTAACACTTTTATCATACGCCGTAGGCTCATGGACTGAGTGTGAGTGCATATTATATTTTTTTCTCATGTGCAAAGAAAAAGACGATTCCAAGTCTAAATGCAGTTTATTTCGGTCAGTAAACTCTCTGAAGATAGCCACGTGAAATTTAAGCCTAGAGGTGAAGTAGGTAGGAGGTACAGATTAATTAGGTAAGCTGCATTACACAACCCTTTCACACAAGGGTTCCATGCACGATATGACATTCACACTGTCACAGGAGCGGGAATCTGCGCCGAACACGGACCTACACTAATGAGGAGAATAAAGATCGGGAGTCCAAATACGGCGCACTCTGTCTGAGGAAAAGCACTCCAGACAGTTTTCAGACGGGCGAATGAAACAAACAATCGATTGATTCAAGTACCACTTTGACCTTTCGAACCGCCATTTACTGATTTAGTGACGTAAAATGTGATAAAAGAACTCCTCTCCCTAGATATTATAGTTCTGATACACTGGATTCTTGCAACTTTTTTGACAGAGTACAAGAACCAGACAAGGGCCCCACCAATTGACCCCACGACATCGTTTTGTTTAGCATAACGCCGATTTAGTTTGGACGAGATTTCCGCCATAAGAGGGACGCGTTGAACTGAAGGTCACTGGGGGTTGAAAGACAACCAGCCACAGCGGGGTACCCTACAGGCAATGTCACCTTTGTCTGACCTAGTACCTACACGGTCTGCCAAGCATTAGACTTCAACCCCGTTTATCTTTAGCCTTCTGTCCGTCAACTTTGATGTAAAGCAGATTCTCCGCCATATTTGAAGAGTCTGGATTGATTATAGAACTAATGAACACACAGAGGGGGATGGATATGTCTTTGTTGTTTGACTTGTTTTTATGGCTTCTAAAAATATTAAATATCAACTCATACAGACAAGGGTGAGAGAAAAACATGCCCTGTCGTTATCTAAATGGGCGGATGATGTGGTAACGCTGTGTCAGACGGTGTGACGAGCCTACAATTCAGACTAAACACTAAACTAGTACTACCCCTGTTTGTGAGATATGCCTCTTAGTATTACTAGTGGACCGGATCTGCAAACATTCCCGTGCTTATATAGCTTGTGACTGCAGAACTAGCAACCCGCATAGTGAATTTCCTGTGCACTGATGGACGTGCTTCCCAACAACATCAGTGCGTTTGATTGACGTAGTAGTATCCAGTCCTCGTCACCGCATCCTTAATTTAAAAGTCTTCCTCGGGAAAAGGGAGGCGACAAAGGCGGATTCCGTCGATGCTATGGCTTTCATTTTGTACATCCTGCCCATAAATCTAGAATTTGAATCTCGACTCCTCTCTTTTGGTAAGTCCTTGACAGACGCCGTCATTGCCGGTCCCCGGAGAAATTGTTACCGACAAAGAATTGGCAGAGGGAGATAAAGTGGCTAGATCTAGCTGTTTGGTTCGTATCAAAGCATGACTGACAGTTTACATTTCCTGGTGGGTATCTGATGTGCAGCATTAGGGTTGCAGTCTATAGCTACTATGGGGATGATAAAGTTGCTGTCAAAATTTGTCGCTTTTCACTACAACTGAAGATAGTTAAATTGTCGCTTCTTGAATCCCTGTGTTTACGAGAACCGTTCTCACTTACTTCTTGTGTGAAAAAAAGATAAATCTCAAGTGCGCCACACATTAAGCTGCGATTTTGTTTAGTCTACAGCTTAGGACACAAGGTGTGCAAGCAGAAATTGAAGACGCCTGTCCTTGGTGCCTGAGTGTTTAACTAGGTGCAGACTAACATACCAATGAGGACTATGTAGAAATGTCTTCGCGTGTCAGTGTTAAGTATTTGCTAATCGTCTTTGTCTCAGTTCAAAGATCGAAGCAAATAAATATTTGATTCCGACGCACCAACAACAACGGTTGACTGTCAGTACGAGCGAAATATCTTGCCTGCCATCTTGGTCAGACCCTCGTAAGCATAGCTGTATTTGCGAAGTCGAAAATTTTCTGTGATGAAGACGAGTACATGTAAAAGACTCTCAACCAACTAGTTCAACTAAAAACCCACCAAATTAACAAGCATTTTATCAGACAATGGACAAATGGGCGTGTAAGCACGTCTGAGATTGCCACATGTACCAAATCTAAAACAAGTACTTGAAGTAGGGCGTCAGTACAAGAGCCGCATTGTCCTGGCAACATCGCCGCACAGAAGTTGAGAGACGAACTGGGTCGTCACATACCGTCAGATTAGATTTGTTTCTCGTGTGTCGTCTGCAGGTCTGAGACGAGACGACCTCCATGTACCCATTGTTGGATTTCCCCCGTCTGTAATTTATCAATGAGCACAGTTTCGTAAATTGTATTTTAAAAGGAGAACAAGGACATTCTGTAATTGCAATCTGCCGCGTCGTCGAAAGCATTCTAAAAATAATGAAATATATCTTATTTCAAGCGTCTCCATAGAGATCTGTTCGTTGTCGTTGCTATTCCAACGCACAAAACTGTTACTGATTTTCTATGTCTGTGGAAGTGATTGGTACACAGTAGATATCGCTGTTGAGGACATCTTCGAGAAAATAGTTTTATGGAACACAGGGATGATAATAATAACTCATGGTCGGTCATGTTGCCCGGCAATTGCGATGCCCGCCATAGTTGTGGGTGACCTCTGACCAAACGGAAATTATTTCAGGCCTTACCCCCATGTTCTAGACTGTACATTTTAGTCAATCAAATTTCTAATCGATCAAGTGTTATTTCACCATGTAGCTGCATATATCACCCAAGTAGCTTTTAATTTTTGCTTCCTATGGACATAAGTAAATTGTAATTGAAAGCAATTTTTCATCGATTTCCTATGTGAAATTGGGGCAACAGCCACATCTAGCCATACGGATAAATGCATGGATATTGTGTTGTGTTTATACTACGTGCTCAGCACTGCAAATTTCTTTCTCAGTAGAATACACTAGCCACTTGCAACCGCATGGCTTTCGCGTAAGCTTTTAAGGGTTATCCAGTTTCGCGTTGTTTATTTGAATTGAAGAGCGGCTACACTATTACAAGCCAGGGCCTGTCACGAAGGAGCCTTATTGAAAACGCATGCGTCTCAGCCAGGTCGTTATGGGTGTAATGTCTTGTGTAAATCACGTTCCATGTTTGCAAAAAAAAAGTTTAAAACCTGTTTGGCCAAACAGACTGACACGGAGGCAGCTGCATTGTTCAGTAGCGCCAGAGGCAGTGTGCATGAGAAATCCGATATCCCAAGCCACCCGCTCTCTCTGTTGGAAATATCACAATTCAGACGACGCAAATGAAGTTTCATGGACCATTCACCAATTTCGTGGGAGTGGTAGGATCAAGTCTGGCTTGAGAAAGGGGTTTTGGCGGTATGTAATAATCCGTCACCTTGACAACAAGGCTGCAGAAATGTTATAGTGGCGATCAGGATGAAAGATACTCGTCTTGAAATGCCCTTTTATGGCCCACTGTGGATGGAGGCGCAAATCCCCGTGCGCAAGTACGAGCTCTGGGATTCATAGATAACATCGAAATGTAAAAGTTCACTGTAACAGTCGACGTCATCCGTCGCCAATGGCAGCCATCTCGTTTGTACGCGGTGCACGTTCACACTATGGAAAGGGATAGCCTGTTTTCAGGGCTACCTGTTAATTTTTCCGTGCAAAGTCATTACGCAGAAATTAGGGGTGATAGCGAAAAGCTCATTCGGCTTTCTTTACAAATTACTTTTGCAAGCCGGTCAATAACTTTGGGGTTTTGTTGGTAGTCGTTCAACCCGGTAGAAAATCTAATAACTGAGCAGGTTTGCCAACAGAGAGTGGGCGTAGGTCTAGTCTAGACGCTACTTTGGAGCCTCCATGCGTATCTGAGAGCAGCCATTTTAAATGCACACCGTATCCTGCACATGGAAGTATATGACAGAAAGATATCAATAAATAAAATTGCCATGGCCATTCATATTTTAACAGCCGGATATTAATTTCTTCCTGAGTAATTTCAAGGCTGCATGGAGCTAGCATGTACGTGAAGTGGATACAAAAGTCCATATTAGTGAGGCTCTGCTAGCAAAACCCACGGGCCCTTCTGGAATCTGGACTGTTGTCAAGAGGTGTGGGACATCCACTCAGTGCCGCACCTGCTGTGCGGGGAGATTCTGATTACCTCACAAATCACAAAACAACCGGTAAACGAGATGCATCATGCATTAGACATGTTATTACCTCTCACTGAGGCCCCAGAACGCCCCCGGGTCCTCTAAGCGAAGCTTGATGGATGATCGGGGCTGAAATATCCCCGGTCCCGTCCACATACCGGACGGCAGAAGTGTTGACAGTCAACAGGGGGTTATTAGAAACATTGTACATGTAGGCAAACACGAAATGTCGGCTGTCAACTTGTCTTGTAGAACAAGATGTGATACAGCTGAGACTTTTCGTCAGATTCTGATCAGTATTAGTGATTGTTACAGCGAACTCTTTATATTTTATGTTCAAATAACATAAAATAGACGTTCTGTTGACTTGTGGAGTATTTGTATGTATTTAGTTAATGATTAAATTACAATGTAGTTACGATTGAGCTTTGAAGATAAGCTAAGTGCCTCATCACATCAATGTAAAACTCGCAATGACTGTTACACCCCAAACGTTGGCCCGGCCGGCTACCCGAGGAACACCATGCTCGCCCCGGGCTATTTCAAATGGCCCCCTACAACATAGCGATATGGGGCCATCTATATAAAGTATAAGGTGATCAATTAAGCGTAGCTCATGTAATGGTCGGCCGACGCTGCGTCCCATTATGTATGATTAAATATTGATTCCTTTTATTGTTGGGCAGGTGGCAGGACGAGGCGGGGTTGCGTGCGGAGCTGGAAGCTGAGATTGAGAGGCTGAAGAAGGTGGGTTCCGCCCCTCCCCATTAGTATCCACCATCTTGGATCAATAGTGAACACGACATCCGATACCGGAACGTGCCCAACTTCACACAAAGTTTCCTCTAACAAAGGCCACTGTAACTTTAACATACTTACTTTGGGAAATTGGTTTTCATTTCGTAGTTTTCTTCACTTGTAAAAACATCTGAATTACATAATAATAAAGAACTCCCATAAACAGCCCTTTTTGTTGATGAAGACAAAAAAAGAGGAAAATGAAGTTGAAAAATCTGGGAAGTTAAAACTTGTCGTGAATTGTGTAAAGTGTGATCTAAATACCGCCTAATCGCTGACCAAGAAATTCAGTGCAGACAAATATTCATTATGTTATCTTCCACGGAAGTTATCACCATGCGGAACCCCAATTTAGACATTTCTTGATGAGACTAGAAGATAAGGTAGTTTTATCAGAGCGGCAAGAAGTGGGGCTGATTCCACCGATAAAGAGACTACCCCGTCGGTAGACAGGTTGCCATAGTTGGCTAAGAAATGCTGCCCTTTTCCGTGCCACGACCACAAGAGCATTCCAAGAATTTCGGTCCGCGTAACCTTCTGAACTGGCAACAACTACAGCTCCCAAGTGATATTAAAAACAGACCCTGCAGAATTAGAATTAGCTCCGGTTGTAGCAACGTTATATCAACTCGACTGCAAAAACTGCTGTTTCCAACTTCAGTAAAGAGTGCACAGCGAGGCACAATTTCACTTCATTATTGATCAAAATAGATGAGTTGATTTACAATGAGAATGCGTTCCTACTCTTTAATTGAGTGTCGTTAAAATGTATTGACTTTTTGCTTAGCTGTTGTCAATATCCGGGACTAGATTGGGCCGAAAGTTGTGAGGCAGGATTGATTCATAACGACATTATTGCTTGGGACGCATTCATCCGCTTCTGATATTTCGGAATTGTCAATAAAATAGCCCGTAGGCCATAAATCTATCGCAACTAACGGCCCGTTAAAAATGGTGCTTCGCCAGCACTCCAAGTAGCCTAGATTGGAACTGAACATTACAAAACTGCAGTCAAAGGTCTCGCCGAAAATTGCACCAGTTCCCAATATACGAGCGCAGAGCGTCGGTTGTGAATGCAGGATAGGCTTGTAAAAACCAATTTACCCCGCCAGTTTTGCCCATATATGGAAAGGAGCCCAGGCTCGGTACGTCAAGCCGAGTAATTGCACATCTGGGATTTTGCTCCAGGAGGTTGGCAGTGAAAAGTTATAATTTTCCCTCGGTGTCAGATGTTTTCACTTCAATGGGTTATCGATCTCGATTGAAGAAAAATGAGGCGTTGGGGTTGAAAAGGTGGATGCAGTAATTTGCTTCCCGGTAAGAATGGGCACAGAAGAGCCACCCACTCAAGATATTCATATAAAATACAGACAATATCAGACGTTCGGTGGTAAAATTTAGCAAAACAACGGGTATATCTCGTCTGATCACTTTTAGCAAGAAATCTCATCGAAGAAAATTCAAACGTTTGGGCATGTTAGTAATTAGTCTGTTCGGACTTTCCTTTCAAAGTGATATGCGAGACGATTAATTTCGCCCACAGGGATGAAATGTAGTATAGATGGATGTTTTAGGGATGTGTTTTACGACAGAAGTGGGGCAGTGCGGTAACATGATGTCAGAGAAGAGACAATGTACATGAACATGACTATGTATTTGTCTGGCACAGACAGACATGATTTCATCGCCAATAAGCCAGTCCCAGGAAGAGGTTAAGCCGGCGCCAAATTTATAGCGGCAGCTTGAACGTGACCTACATACATGACTCGCCATGACGCCGTTCTCAAATTACGTTACAGTACCCACCGGGAGATGACCTAAAATTTTCTGACATTTATGTTTAGAGACGAATGAGGTCTACCTACTGTGTGATTACACCTTATATCTTAACGTGCTCGTGTTTTAACGTACCTATCTTTGTGACCTAATACTTTTCTGAGTGAAACACTGTAACATTGGCGCCACTCAATAAATCACTGCATTATTTATATGTTCCTTAACACCTGCATCCTCTCCGGACATAACCGTCGCGACTACCCCATGAATAAATGATTAGGCAGTGGGGGATTACTTCCCAAGTTCCGGTGTTTTTCACTTTCAACTTTCCAGAATGTTCCGCCATATTTTTTTCACCTTGACCTCGATAACTTACCCGGATGTTCCGCCATGTTTTCTGCAGGAGCTGGATGCAGCAACCATGGCGCGTGTGGACTTGGAGAACAAGCTCTCCACCGCACAGGAGGAGATCGATTTCTTGAAGAGGGTTCATGATGAGGTAGGTACACTGATTTTTTTCTTGAAGCAGTAACGCAAGTCGTTGGATTAGATTTTATGTAGTCTTTGTGACTGACGCACCTGCAGTTCTACAGTCTCTGATTTTGTCTGCGAATTCAATACCTTTTTTTCTAAATGTCATGATTTATTTTTCTATTTTTTGCAGGAAATCCGTCAACTGCAGGACCAGTTGAACGAAAGTTTGACCATTGTGGAGGTGGACTCCCGGGCTCCCACAACTTTTGCTCCTGGACCTGACCTCACTGAAGCTCTGCGTGAGATCCGTACTCAGTACGAGGAGCTTGGACGTGTGAACAGGGAGGATGCTGAGGTCAAGTACAAGCAGAAGGTAGGGGAGAAGTATTGCAAACATATTTTGAAAATACTTGTGCAGTACCAGTACAGAGCTAAAACATTATTGCAACATCAGAGGTTTGTGCACAGACATTTAAATCGCACTACTGCAATTTTACATCAGCTTTCCAATCACCAAGAACCTTACGGCCAAGCCATAGTCAGACATCGGTCAAAAGGGTCAGGAAGTTGATACCGCCGCCGTCCCTGTTGAGTTCTTCCTCTTGTCAATTTAAACTTGCTACTGAGAATATACGTCATGTTCGTTAGCTATCAGTTGTTCATGCCCTGATTCTATAGCAAGTTGGTTGATGGACAATTCATGAACATTTTGTTGTGTTTTTTTTTCCTTCAATCGATCCAGTTCAGCGAGCTGGCCCAACAACGGGAGCGTGACAACGAGGCTCTGATGACTGCACGGACAGAGGTGACAGAACTCCGGAGGAACCTCAACTCTCTCGTGGCCGAGAATGAGGCTCTCAAGAGTAAGGTGAGTGTCAGTAGCTCACCAGATACTGTTTTATATTCAGAATGACCGTAATGTCAATCGGAAATATTATACTTTTATACATTTGGGCAATTACACTTTGTCATTACAAACATTGCGATAGATTCCTTGAATTTTAGTGTGTAATGTTTCTGCTTTGTTGTGTATGTGGCGTCGACTTACAAGATGTAAAGGGTAAATCCAAGACGAAGCCATTTCCTGCTCGCCTGTAATGCAATCAATGCTTGTCAACACGTAATAAGTGACAGGGACGTCATGCTGGGGCAATATTCTATTCATGCAGTCATTGAACCCCCACATTGACATGGGAGAAATATGACGTGGCCTACTTCAGCAGTGGACAGGATATAAATAATTGCTGTCTCCAGCTTTTAATGCATGTGCTGCTTGGTATTCACTAGACACGTGTCCTGGAAACGAGCCTTTCTATCTTGACGAGGTGGCACGAGAAGATAACAACCGACCATGAAAACTGCCTTAATAAGCTGCTTCTTGAAATGAGTCTGGTCAAAGAAGACGTAGCATCTATGTCCAGGATACTGAAGGGGCTTGGGACTTAGCGCCTTGCTCGAACAGTTACCATAGACCACACTCATCCAGGTAGGTAGGAGGCTGCAAACTCAATCGTTACTCATCACCAGTTTCACCATTAAAATTTTCGTTGGCTCTGACCACATATAAATTTTGCATTTTTCATATTTTCTGGAATGGAATTTCAGTGAAGTTGATATTAAATCTGGGCAAAGATGGAATGTGCCTTTCTATTTGTTTTTAGAAGCTAACAGAGTCAACAGCATCAGAACATTTTTGGCATTGAGTTCCTAACAAGCAGCCTCCTACCGCCCCGTTCGAACGCCCCAGGGCAAATTCATACGCCCAGCAGATATGTAGATGTGGATTTTCTTGTGTTTTGAACAGAACGCAGCTCTGGAGGGCAGCCTGTCCGACCTGGAGGGTCGCATGCAGCTGGAGATCGAAGAGTATCAGGCTGCAATCCGCGATCTCGAGCAGGAGCTGGAGACCAAGTCGAGTGAGATGGCTCAACAGATGCAAGCCTACAAGATGTTGATGGACACCAAGATGGCGCTCGACATGGAGATAGCAGCTTACAGGAAGCTGCTGGAGGGAGAGGAGATCAGGTGTGAACATTTTCTTAACTTTTCATCTTAACTTTTCACTAAGACGCCTGGTGTGTTTAATCCATCATGGAACGCGAGGAAACACGGGATAGAAATGGCAAGACGGCACCTGCAAGATCCTCGCAGGTAAAACACGGTTGTTCCCGGAGTTTCCTTGCATGATCGTTGTTTTTGTGGCCATTGGTGAAGCTGTGCGTGGTGACGAGTGACTGTAGTTGTAAGAGGACCCTGTCCATGTGCTACGTCTTCTTCGCCTTTTAACACACACGCGGAGAACAATCTAATCCCAAATCGTACGCCCTTCTCCCCTACATTACTTCCCGCTCAAATCTGAACACCTTCTGCTCTTCTGCTTTTATTTGTGCAAGACTATTCCGGAACCCGGCGAGGGTCCGGGTCGTCCAAACCCCACCCGAAGAAGGGTAAGCCAAATTCATTCCGTGGTATGGCCCCTAAGGAAGCTTGCAGATGCTCTTTTGTCGAATCAGCACCATTTGGAACTTTCAAACGATGTCGTACTTTACTTTCATAACTGTTCCTATCAGACTGAACAGCTATTCGTTCTGGCATGGTACAGGATATTACTGACATAATTAACGTCTCCTGTTAATTCTGTTCTAGCTACGTCTCTCTGGTTGTAAATCTGTAAATGACTTTAATCTATCTGACCAAACTCGATTGAAGACATATCTATCATGTCGCTTGCCTGAGTAGATTGATGACTGAAACATGCATGACAGTCTTTTTATGACTTCTGCTACCGCTAATGGTGCTTCAGAATCGAACAAAAGGGCATCTCTGACTCGCTTCGCGAGGCACGAGCGGCATACAGAGAGGCCATGAAGACCAGATTGTCCCTCGATACTGAGGTCGCAGCCTACAAAAGAATCCTGGGCCCTGGTGTAATGGAACAGAGGTACTAGTCATACTAGACAGTCAAGGATTTCCGTGCAATCTCCTTTCTCCAACATCTCCCCTGTCCAAATTACTCCGTGTCAGCCCACACTACGGTTTGGTTGCAAGATTTGAGTTTTCTTACCTCTACGTTATGTCTGTCATACAGTTTTGTTTCCTCAGGATCTTCCCTATGCTGCCTGCTTTGTTTGAGCTGCTGCTCTTTTGTATTTAATTGTTTGTTTTTGTTTTTGCTGGTACTCAGTCCAGCAGCGTTGTCCTCCCTGAGAATCCCTCCTACTTATGGTGACGACCACCTGCTTGCCAGTATGCTTTTTAACACTAGTGAAACTGCTTTTCAAGGTCTGCTTTTGGAGTACGTGTGAAGTGGCTTATGCTGAAGAATACTCTTTGTGGATACCTTATGAACGTTTTACCTTGCAGCTAGGTATCTTCGGGTTAGATGTAAAGGCTAACAGGTGCTCCTCTGTTATCATTTTGATGTTGCAATGGAAAGATACCAAAAATTATCTTCATCTCATTGTAACTTGTTCGCCTTGCTGCCCCAGGATACCTAGCCAAGAATTTCCTAACATATTTCCTCGATTTCAACGTGAACCCTTCTATCACCACAATTTCTTACCCCCTCCCTGTTTGGATTTTGTTTCCCATCAGGCTGTTCGGTGAGAGCAAGGAGGGCATGCAGACGTCCAGCAGCAGCAGCAGCTACCAATACTCCATGAAGTCAGGGTCCGGCGGCGGCTCGTCTGGCAAGCAGCAGGTCACCGTCAGTGTCTCCTCCGGTGAGGAAAAATGATGGGTCAGGCCATAGCGAAAGATTGTGATGTGATGATGATAATGCATTCGTATTAAACACGCCTTGCCGACTAGCCTACCTACTCTACTACTAGCCGCAACATACTGCGTGCTGTTACAAAAAGCAGATGCAACTCAAGGAAAGCGTAAAAAAAATGATGTCGGTGCTGTGAAGCGCACGTTTTAACTTCTTATTTTTCATCCGTACTGGAAAATAGTGACTTAAAGTAAGCTGTACAAGTAGTAAATTTGCTAGGCGCACAATGCGGTGCATCGGCTACTGTGCTTTGGAGTTGTAAGATAAGGAGGAGTGGCTTGTTGGACAACCAACCATAGACTTACGGCAGACTCGTACCATGTCTAAACCAGTGTATCGGTTATCGGAGAGGATTCGAAAGTTGACCAGAAATGTTAGAGGACGATTAATTGTAACCATGTATTAACCACTTGGCATGAACATTCGGAGAAGTATAATGTAATAGAAGGAGAGGGACAATAAAGAGTCGGTGCGAAAACGTCTGAGCCCGTGCCAGTGTCACTTTGTGTTTTGTTGCTGGTTTTGTAGGGTAGGTTAATGATACTCAACGGCTTGTGTCTCTGCGCTGTCTCACCAGCCATTGAGATCCATTCATAGAAAAGCGCCCCTGTTATTTACGCATGTATGGTAAACGCACAGGGTTAAATTGTTTTATCCACACCAATGAACATGCACCTTCAGCTTATCCAGTACCTGTTTTGTTGTCATTTTAGTCCTGGGGAAGGACTCACGTGTTTTCCAATTTTCCCAATCTTTGGTTTTATCGGTACCCTTTTACGTCCGCTTGTATCATTATTTGCATGCCACAATTTTGTTTCCAACCATGCGAACGTAGCATGTAAACATATAATGGTTGAAAGTTGCATGTTCTGCCATTGGTAGCAATTTTAGTGACGCCAAGCTTGTTTAGTACTCGGTCGTGTTAAATGCCCCTCCCATATCTATTTGGCTTTTGACACTTCAATGATATTTGAATGGTTCACCAAATACGACAATATGTTTTCCTGATATGGCATCAGGCGAGATTCTGCCGTAAGCCTCTGGTTGATGACCGGTCCATTGTCGGTCCATGATTTGTTTAGTATAAATACAAATTATGCATTATTCTCCTCTCTACCTATTGGGTCTGGGCATTTGACATGATCTATGCCGATAGCGCGTTAGGCAAGTCTATAGATATGTAGTTTCTTGGGTGGTAGCTAGAGCGGTGCACACATGATGCAGTGTTTGCAGCTAGACCACGGCTATTATCTTAAACAAGAAGGTATCGTATATCAGACTCGTGTCGTGACGAAAGGTGTGGTGGATAATTCTACCCGATGGTAGTACTGTGGGTGCATCAGCGAGGTCAAACAGCAGCTAGCTGGAAATTGCCCCCGGAACGATGTGCTTGTTGAAGACGTAAATAGTTATTTGAAAACACGGTCTCGTACACCAAGACGTGAAACGTTTTGCGAGAAAAAAAGCGGTTCAAAAACCTCACAATACATTCGCCACATGTCTTCGACATCTACTTTGATCTTTTAGAAATAGCCCAATCTAGTCACAGAAATCTGTCTGACCTATACATCAAACGACTCAAAAAGACTTTAAACCCAAACAAGATTACTTGGTACATTGACCCATTTCTTCAAAAGTAGGACAGGATTAACGTTTGGGCGTTTTCGAGAGGGGCCTGTGGATCTTCACACTTCAGGATATTCTTGGAATGCAAATTACACGTGTCGATCCTATGTCAGCAATTCGGCAAATATTGACGAAATGTGTGAAAACAGATGTTCCAACAATCCATCACGTTGCTTACCCGCATGTCAAGTTGGTAGGCCGTCAATCAGGCCAATGTTCTCAAGACGGAGGGATGTTTCGCGACTGGCCTGGTTTAGTCACTGCCTGAGTAATTGGGGAAGCATTACCAGCGGGTGTTGTCTCTTAAAGGGGCCATTGAAAGAGTCACTTGCCGTATTGTACGTGACTAAAATACAAACGTATCTTTTGCAAAGATCTAAAACAGATTACCATCCTCAAACAGATTAACGTGCAATATGCAATCAATGTACAATCACGAAAATCGACACGGTAACACCTACCAAACGTCACAGCTGATCCACATTTGGCGCTAACACTTTCCGTCCTGAGAAATCATCTCGCCTCACACACACATATCTACCATTTTCCATTTGGCTTGTTGGTTTCAGCTAAAACCACATACAAACACCACAGGCTCTTCGAACTGATGAAAATAAGGTTTTGTTTCGTTGCCTGTACTTTTCAGCCTTGATATTCTGTGACTAGATGGAGGGTCATCGCATGTTTCTTAGTGAAAATGTCCCAAAATGGTCCACACGTGGCACTCGTCAGCACACCAAGACTCATTGATGAGGCACATGGGTGGACCACTCGACTTTTACCACTACAAAAAATTGGCCTTAAACAACTGAGTTGATAGTGCTGTTTTAAAGCCAACCCGGCCGAACTCAAGTCAGAAGTGGGCACCTTCCATGTGTAGGAAGTCGAGTGACGCACCTATTTGTGCACAGAAGAAAGCGGCCCTGTACACGTCAGCAGTCTCCACGTACACTCACGTCTTCAACAGAGAAGAGATGACTACTACAGACTGCAGCGAAGACATGTGCCTTTTTTCATTGCTCTTCTTCCAGACGCCATCTTAATTTTCAGCTGTCTCTGTTATGCTGTGACATATACGTAATTGCCTGTCAAGCAGGTCCTGTCTCAGGGATTGAGCATTGTCTTTCCTGGAGGACATGGGTGATATTTCAATCTTTTTAGTTTTCCTAATGAACATTATATCGAACCACAGACCTCCTTTTCAGTTCCATTCACAGTTCCGTATGACATCAGACGGTTCCCCATGCCTCCAAGAAAAATGGCCCATCCCTAACCTTTCCTGTCTTTCTTGACCTTCCCCTCATGCAACTTAAAGAGGAAGTACTAGGCGCTGCTCCATGTCTTGAGCCCGCTGGTGATGGTAAGCCCCTCTCAAGGTGTCACTTTCCGCTTTTAAACGCACCAGCTGGGGTTTCAGTTCTTTCCATTGATCACGTTGTTTCCTGCGTTTCTCAATGTTACCGTCTTTTTTGGATCTCCATCGCCCTTTGTGCTTGGGTCATAATGCATGCGCCTGTGGGTTGGGATGGTAGAGTCTTATAATTTCTCTAGAACATTTGATAGCTGGTATAGAGATGGATTCGTCATGAACTGAGATGGTTATAATCTTGTTTGGTTCATAATACCGCCCATCAAGCGACAAATATATAGACTTACGCTTAATACACGTCGGGAAAATCGATTTGCATGTAGACTAAAATGAATATGTCACCTTTTAGTGTGCATGTCTATCGGACCGCCATGTTTGTTACTTTACTCCCCTTGGTTCGGAAGGTCACAGACCTGACCTCTGACCGACATCCATCGCGCATGCCCCACTGAGCCGCAACATCGCGAGGTTATCAACCTTTGACCTTCGTTCTTTAATGTTTCCCATGCTACCTGTCAGTCAAACCTGATGAACCAGATGAGGCCGACGGTAAGACCTGCCGAGACATTTTTGCCAGTTCCTTTAGAGCAATTTGAAATATGCCATTCAGTAGACCATAGCCCCCCTCCCCATTCCGTTTTCAGATAAACTAAGATATGCGTAGCATTTCATTTAGCGCTGTATCATCAAGCAACATAACTAGACCCGCCGCCGTAGTTAAGAGATCAATGCAATTCGCATGACAATATTATTGAAGGTAGTGGCAATATTGATGTTGGAAATACTGTTATTTCCACAAATGGCTAAGGTTGAGACTCAAGCGTAATTAGCTCATTCCTCTAGTAAGCTAGCTAACCACCAAGGACCCCCCATCGTTTCTGAGCAAAGATATTTTCTGCTTCACAATCTAAGCATGGCTGGTAACTGGAGGGGATGTGGGATAACTACCGTCTAAACCAGTTCTGACTCTCTAATTCTAGTCTGCAAAACAGTTTGCAACAAATATAGATTGTCATCTAAAGCAGTTAGCGTGCGAGACTTAAACCCCTGAGACGTAGAAGAATTACACACGCAGCAAAATCGAAGTTAGTTAGCAACCAAAAATAAAACATTCATGCGGTGAAGATTTAGCTCCATTGTGCCAACTTCAAAAACACAAACGCGAGAAAAGAACATGGCTCTGAATCAAAAGCCTCTGGTACTCTGATAGTAAGAATACAGAAACAAAACATGAAAGATCAAGTGGCATAGTAAGAATGAAAGTAACTCACAAGTGCCAATGTAACTTGTGCCTTTGCTGGATATTTACATATTTGGACATTTTGACTGCGGCGTAGGAGGAAAAGAGGAGGAGGAAGAGGAGGAAGCAGCTGGTAAGCTTCACCAGTTCAATTCCTGACGACATCACATAAAGATGTACAATACTTTTCGTATTATATAAAAACGTCCTCTTCAAGTGAGCACTTTAAAAAGTGCTAATGGACACAAAATGCCGCACCCTCAAATTGACATATAGTCGCAAGCAGCATACTAAGTTGTTCGGAGACATGGATGTGACATACCCAATTAAATTTTCATGCCCCATAGGAGAGGAAGAAGTAGAAGAAAAGGAGGGTAAGGCTATAATAAGTGTATTTTTCATGGCTACAGGACATGTGCATGTCATATCGCGTGCCAAATCGTACCCATTGAGGAAGTCCATGCATGCACAGAGAGCATGTGAAACCTCAAAATTGATCTAAACCCCGCACATAAATCCTTTCTTGTTGTTTTTCTACAATACCAAAATATTGAAATGCTTGCAACCAATCGCGTCAACAAGCTACAATGATTGTGAAGTCCAGTGGACCCAGTCAATGCAATTGTGGAATGCAAACAGTGAGATCGAACGAGCATCTTGCAACTGTGCCTCGTGATGGCCAACCCCCTTCCCTACCCTTGATAACAATTGTTTCCACGCAATTCAATTTGTGCTTTGAAGAAGATGAGGCTGAGGAGGAAGAGGAGGAAGAGGGTGAGATCTCAAAATCAAACAAATATTTTTCTACAAACAAAAAATGTAATAAACCTTACAGGCGAAACAAAAAATGGTTCTTTGAACAGAGACACAAATAAATAAATGAATAAGAGACGCACAGTTAATATATTTTCTAGAGTTACTGAATAAATCAATTGTAATAGGTGCCTTAAGAAAAGCAAACTGTTTCCATGCATGTTGCATGTAAATAATATGAATGTGAGTTTTAGTCCTAATATTCACAAATCGTTTGTCCTCGCGTTTTCTGTGATTAGCCGCGGAAGAGGAAGAGGGAGAGGAAGAAAAGGAGGAAGAGGGTGAGACTTAAACAATCAAATTCTAATTCCCTCCCCCAATTTTATTTAAAATCCCACTCCCACTTTCCAAGCCTTGCATCTTTATTACAAAATAAAATCAATGTGCCATCATAAGACGATTTCACTTAAATCGTACAGTGATAGCTAACTGAATGCTTGCCTTGCGCTACTCATATACAGAATCCATGTCCAGAGCAATATCCTGAATCTCTTCATTTCACAAAGACCTTTGATATTCAAACCTTACTGTTATACTATAATGCTCGACATCTCGAACGGTGCATGCGTTTAGCCAGTGGCCTTAAGATATGTTGCACATCTAAACATGAACAATCGCGTTCCTTTCCTGGAAACTTGAAATATCTGACTAGCTGAGGAAGAAGCAGCTGAGGAAGAAGAAGAAACTGAAGAGAAACAGGAAGCCGAGGAAGAATCAGCAGAACCCGAGGGTGAGCTTGAGCTGACATTCCCCAGATATCCATGCCCCACATATTTTTGCTCTCCAAATAATGCTGTTTGACGCATTTTACTGTTTTGCTCAAGTTCCGCGATGAAGGCATTCCAACACGTGCCAAATACTGAAAATCAAAAATAGCATCGCTGATGATTTAAGAAATACATCTTCCTTTCCATAACGTACAACGTAGTTTTTCTGCCACAGGCAATGTTTAGATTTTAATAACCGAACAGGGCACATCGTCATTTTGTGACGTTGTTTGATCTGTTGGTACTTTGTTTAGAGCAGTTTCATTGGCGAATGGTTTGTCTCTTAGGATCCCCAATTTGCATAGTTTTTAGAAGACATGAATCATAATCTAAAGCACAGTTGCTGCATTGAGTAAAGTCTAACTTTCCCTATCATGCAACGTAGCTGAGGCTGAGGAAAAAGAGGAGGAGGTGGAGGAGGAAGGTAACTGAAAGCAATTGAATTACGGCTGATATGCAGTTTAAAGTTTAAGTTTATAAACTTAATGGCTACTTTCTTCAAATAATGCTAGGGGCAGTTCTTTGCTGATCATTATTAAACGAACTAAACTTCATGTAATTTAGAATGTTTTATTGGGAGATAAATATTTACCTACAGTTTACCTACCAATAAAATCATAAATATTGCCCTCAACCTTTAATTTAGCTGAGGAGGAAGAGAAGGAGGATGAGGAAGAAGACAAAGATGAGGGTGAGAATGTTCTTTAAAGTTTTATCTCATCAAATGTCCTCTCACGGCCCAGGCTTTAAGTTTAAACAATGTTTAACATCAATGATCTTTTTATCCTCTTGATAGATTTTTTACCCCTTTTGTCCATACAATTTCCATTATTTCAAAGGCACCAAAGTTTATAAAATGTAAAATTCTAATGATAACTTTGCCCTTTAACCTTACCTTTGGCATAGCTGAGGAAACAAAAGAGGCTGAGGATGAAGCTGAGGGTGAGCATCTCATAGTCCTACCTCTTAACTCTTAATGTTATTCCTATCGCGGAAAATCAAACAATCACAAATGGTAAGGAAGTATGTATTTGGAAGATTTTCAGTCGCGACAGGGTTAGACCTCCTCCGGTTTGTTTTTCTAAAATCTTTCTTATCAAATCTGATGGTGAGGTTACAGGAATATTCCAATATGTATTCATATGATATAATCATTATCTTTCGTAACTCACCACCCAACCTAGCTGAACCTGTGGAAGAAAAGAAAGAAGAAGCTGAAGAAGTAGAGGGTGAGGGTAAAACAAAACACTTTCATGAAAATTTCAAAATTCGTTAAGCAATTTTGAGCAGTAGACAGATATAATCAGTTGCTTTGTGGAAGGCACTTCGTGGATTAGTTCTGCAATAGTCTGAGTCTGGCTCCAGAAAATCCCAAAATGGAATTACATTTTTTCTCCGTAACTCCTTCACCCAACAAAGTTGAAAAATACTATGAAAAATATCCTTGTCATGTAATCATATTTTTCATAACTCATCATCCAACCTAGCTGAACCTGTAGAAGAAACGAAAGAAGAAGTGGAAGAAGTAGAGGGTAAGGGTAAATTAATAACACTTTAAAGCGCACCCAAATTGCTACTCTTTTTAAACATTTTTGAGCACCATGCTATATAAACGGCTAGTTGTATCGCATTACGTTTCTTCCCGCAATTCATACCGCAATTTAGCTGAGCCTGTGGAAAAAAGAACTAGAGGGTGAGGCTAATAAACAAGACATAACATTTGGATAAAACACCCAAGTTGCCGACTGTAGTGTTAAACAGCTGTTTTGTGCAAGACGCTAGATTGCGAAATTTTATCATGGTTTGTTGCCTAGCTGTACCACAGTGTAGTGAGTAATCACATGTCCTTTCCTAACTCATTGCGTAACAAAGCTGAACCTGAAGAAGAAAAGAAAGATGAGGATAAAGATGAGGAGGGTGAGACTTTAGTTTGAAAAGAAGCACCCTTGTCACTGAATTCGTTGAACCTTTTTGCGTACTATGTAATTTGTAAATGTATGAATACCCACTTAAAGGCACTGTGCACTAGATTCGGTATCTATAATTGTCTAATACCTGCCAGCCGCAGAAAAGTACCAAAATGTATTCGTAACGTGTACTCATATTTCCTTTTGTAAATCTCAATGCAACAAAAGCTGAAACTGAGGAAGAAAAGAAGGATGAAGAGGAAGGAGAGGGTGAGCCTGAAAATATAAAAGCTGCTAAAACCCCAGCCGCAAACATTTTTCAACGATTTTGCGCGCTAAATATGCTATATATGGATAAGTGCAGCTCTGTGCATTACACAATCCACAGCCTACGGTATTGATGATAATAAGCTTATATCCACAGTTGTTGCCTTTTGTGCTTCTGCTTAGATAAAACAAAGTACAGTGTATATTAGGCCTTTCATTTAAAGAAAATTGCAATTTCGCATGCTAACTTAGCTGATGAAGAAGAGGAGACAAAAGAGGAGGAAGAGGAAGTAGAGGAGAAAGAGGAAGTAGAGGAGAAAGAGGAAGTAGAGGAGGAGAAAGGGGATGAAGGCGCAGAAGTAGAAGGTGATGAAAACGATTTCTAGGTCGCAAAAGATTGAGATTGCTACGCCTTCTAAAAATATTAAAACGCAAATTTCATTTAATATCTACAAAAATATTTAGTGAACCGTCTTCTCAAACATTTTATGCAAACAATAGCAGAAGAAAAAGAGGAGGAAAAGGAGGAAGAAAAGGAGGAGGAAGAAGACACAAAAGAAGGTGACAAAAATCATGCTATAAATCAATCAAAGGCAAGCGGCTACTAAGAGTGGTCTCTAAAACAGTGACAATATAACGTGGGCGACAACATTTAATTTTTAAACGCCTATAATTCACCAGAACATAGGATAAACTCGTTTTCTTATAACACTTTCATGCAAACAATAGAGGAAGAAAAAGAGGCAGAAGAGGAGGAAAAAGAGGATGAGGAAGACACAAAAGAAGGTGATAAACATATCATTTTGCTACAGTATTTGCAATCATAAAAAATGTTGGTATACCCAAGCAGGTGATAAGTATATGCTTTGGACTCGGCGTGTCTTTTTTAAACGTTGAAATATGGTAAATCATATCGTAAACATTTTTGCATGCAAACAACAGAGGAGGATAAGGAGGAGGAAAAGGCAGATGAGGGAGAAACAAAAGAAGGTGACAAACCTTTCTTGCATCCTGCTAATTGAGATCATTTATAAGCAGCTCAATCCACAACGTTCGATCTGAAACACTTCTGTTGCAACTCGATAGTTTTCAAGATTTTTATATTATCAAGCGTGCTTCGATAGCGCTATAGCATAAATGCACTAAACAAAACATTAACACTGGAAATTGAATGATCCAGCAGAGGTAGAAGAAGAGGAGGAGGAGGAGGAGAAAGAAACAGAAACAAAGGAAGATGACACGAGAGAAGGCGATGGTAATCTCTCTAGCCTTACGAACATTTCGCATTATCTTAAGTAAAACTTCGCAGTGAATTATATTTGAGCTTGTACAAAGGTGAAAGTGATTATCTCAAACAACAGCGCAAAATTGTTAAAGGATGGCTCTTTACTCAAACTGTTGTTTCATAATTTTTACAACGCGTAGCCGAGGACGAAAAGGAGGACGAGGAAGCTGACAAAGGAGAAGGTGACATGTCGTTCAAAACACGACAGCCTGCTCAAAATATAAATCTGCACGCGTTGAGCATGTAAGAGCATTGAACTTTCCGAGGCACCACTTATTAGAACGTGTACCAGAACGTGCAGCTGGAGGTTGCTACCATGAACTACTATGCCATAAATAATTTGTCCATAGAGCTATAATGTCAGGTTTCGCATGCGCTCAGGTTGCCACGCCCATCTTTGAGTTCCCTCTTCAACTCAGCTGAGCCTTCTTTACTTCACGGCACACAGTTCAGCTCTACAGAATTCAAAAGTCCCGTCTTATATACACCCTGTCCAACTTTTATCCGAACAGTCCACACCATACATTCTACTGGTCGCTTGCTTAGCGGCATCTTACAGGATCTGTTGGAGCCATGCACTTGCACGTATACAAAGGCACGACAGAGTCAACAGAATACCATATTATAGTTTCTCCCTTACATTTCCGTATAAAGTGACTTGTGTGTTCTTTTATAACGTAGATGAGGGCGATAAGGAGGCAGAGGAGTCAGCTGAAGCTGACGGTGAGGATATCATCGTTAATGTAGCAGGTGTCACATCGGGTTATGGTATAGAGTGATCGTATTTTTCGCTTGGGCTCCCTGTCGGTCTTTGGTACTAATATTTTTTTGTTTCCGGCTTATGATCAATTTCATTTAACGATTGCCAGGCTCAGGGTTTTGGTCAGTTTTAATCTCTAAGGAGCTGGTGATGGGCTATAGTTGTAGTCTTGGCTGGTTGGGACTTCTTCTGCACACTTATTCCTCTTATCGTTTGTACATGTAGCTTATGATTAGGCTTGACCTGACGCGAATGGGATGTTTAGACGCTTGTCTTAATTTCCATTCGACTTAGCAGCTGCAGAAGATAAGGAAGAAGAAAAGGAAGATGAGAAGACGGGTAAGACAACATTCTAACCTATGCAAACTTGACCTATAGGTATTGCAAACGTTTCAGCAACGGTGAACGAAACTCTCGCCACCATTTTCAACAACCACGAAAGACTTGATTTCAGTCAATCCTATGTACCCATTTATCAAACTAATTACACAGACTGGTAGGAAAAGGTGGGCTAATTTTGAATTTACTAATAGCACTGCTCGATCCGAATTGATGAACAAATCGCCAACTTTGAATTTCAGACGATACCGACTGGTAAAGGTCCTGGATCACCTTGCAGTTCAGACACTGCTCTATCGGTTAGCGCATGGAGAACAGGCCACGATTAGTTACGCCTCCCCTTGTTGGCTTCTACTGATACAAAGATGGATTAATTGTTGACAGGACGTTGGTTGATACACTAAAGGAAAAGTTAGGGTAGTCATAATAACACATATAACCAAGACAGTTTTAAAGATGATTCATTGCTAACGGATTTCTGTCCTTCGATCTCCAACGATAGAAGAAGAGGAGAGTAAAGAGGAAAGTAAGGAGGAGGACAAAGTAGATAGTGCCGGTAAGGCTGCCAAAACATTAGCTTCAGTATATAATACGTACAACGCTTGAGTAGCATTTCTTAATACCTACTTCTAGCCAATGTTTTGATATTAGTCGGACTTTTACAAGATATATGCATTTGATACATCACCTCTAAATCTTATTCCTTGATCTCTTAACACATTCCTAGAAGAGGAAGAGAAGGATGAAGACAAAAAAGATGAGGCCGGTAAGACTACAACCAGACTTTATATTAGCTAGCCAGGAAACCTGAGAATCGGATGTTCAGACTTGGAAAATACTTGACTTGATATGAACAGGCAATGTCAATGTCTTATCGATTGGAATCACTGTGTCTTTTTTGCATGACAGAAGATGTGAAAGAGGACGAGAAGGACGAAACAAAGGAAGATGCACACGGTAAATTTGCATCTGATTCTGGAATTCTTAAACGATCGGTGTTATTCGATATCGCCTTTCGGCAGAGATTCAGTAATACCGTGTCGCTTTAAAGTTGTAGTCTCGATCGCCATATCTTTTATACGACCACAGAAGGTAGGAAAAGGCGGATGACAAAGATAGTAAACGTGCATCTCGTTCTGGTAATTCACTGCTGATTCATTTACTAGGGAATATTTGTTCCTGTGTTTTACCTAAATCACAAGTTTCGCTTTCATACACCACAGAAGATGTGAAAAAGGAGGTTAAGGAAGAAACAAAGGCAGATGCACACGGTAAACGTGCATCTCATTCTGAAAAATCTGTCAAAAAACTTTTCTCGTAGAGATAGATTAAGAAATACCTACATTGCCGGTTTGAATTTTCGTCACCGTTTTGAACTTGAACCCGAATGACATTGTCGGTCTTTTCATCACAGAAGATGAGAAAGATGAGAAAAAGGAAGATAAGGAAGAAACAAAGTCAAAGGCAGATGCACACGGTAAACGTGCGTCATTGTCTGCAAAGTCATTGTTCAATGTATTGGCGTAAAACATTTCCTTCATATTAGCAGAGATGAAATGATATGTTCAAACTGAATATTTGAACTTCGGTCATCGGTTTAAATTTCGTCTGACATTGTCTTTTCATACACCACAGAAGATGTGAAAAAGGAAGATAAGGGAGAAACAAAGGCAGATGCACACGGTAAACGTGCATCTCATTCTGAAAAATAATTCTTGAACACATCCATTGCGAGGAAATATTCGTTACCTTTTACACTGATTTCTGAACATTTTGACCACCGGTTTGAAGTTTGACTGACATTGCCTTTCTATACACAGAAGAAAAGAAAAAGGAAGATAAGGAAGAAACAAAGGCAGATGCACACGGTAAACGTGCGTCATTGTCTGCAAAATCATCGTTGAATGTATTGGTCTAAAACATTTCCTTTGTAGCAGAGATGTAAATGAAATGATATGTTCAAATTGAATTTTTGAACTTTAGACATCGGGTTGAAATTTCGACTGACATTGTCTTTTCATACACCACAGAAGATAAGAAAAGGGAAGATAAGGGAGAAACAAAGGCAGATGCACACGGTAAATGTGCATCTCATTCTGAAAAATCAGTCAAAAACGTTTCTCGTAGATATAGACAAAGAATACCTATTTTGCCGGTTTGAATTTTGGTCACCGTTTTGAACTTGAACCCGAATGACATAGTCGCTCTTTACATCACAGATGAGAAAGATGAGAAAAAGGAGGATAAGGAAGAAACAAAGGCAGATGCGCAGGGTAATTTTCGCAAAATCATTATGAAACCTTGTGAGTCTCAAGACAAAACCGGCTACAGAAGCAAATACAGATAGTCATGCAGCAACCTAACATTGTCAAACCCCAATATACGTTTTCCTCTCAGTAATAAATATTGCAGGAACCGATTGTCCAGTTTGCCTGATTAGAGCTTTATTTCTTTTTGTTCATTTATCAATGAGAACGGATCTCTGTAGTCTAGTCATGTCTATTTCACCTTTCCCACGAGAGACATGTGTGTCAAATCTGCTCATTGTCTACAATTTAGCCGAGCCAGCAGCTGAGGAAAAAGCTGAGAAAACTGAAGAACACGGTAAGATTCCGTGGTTCATTGGCATTGGCTCGGCTTTCGTGAGGCTTTGTTTTCGATTAAGTGCCTCCTTTGAGAATACGTGACAAAGGGGAACCAAACTAGGTACTCAATGTGTGTTGACAGTGCTAGTTAGTGGTCACTCAATACTTTTATGAATACAGAATACGCTTTTATCGGAACCCTCCTTTATTAAAATAATTATAGAATTGAACTGCTATTGGAAGGTGTTTATTCGGCCTGAAAGAATTCTTTGCTAATTTCTGACACAGATGAGCTTGAGGACGGAGACGATAAAGTCAATGGTCACGGTAAGCATAGTGGGCCTACAAAAAACTTCACCTAATAGATTCGGGTCACTAGGTCACTATAGATATAGAGCGTTACTGTCAGCTCTATAATGCTTGCATCAAACAGTGACGTTACGACTTGTGATGTATAGAGACAGGCCAGACGTTCTGGCGCCACACGTCGCGACTCAGACACAAAATTCTCACCAGAGACCAGTTAATAACCGGCTCGTACCCTGCTGATTGTGTGACCTTCCATTTATTATTACCGACAGGGATTCCGTAATACACTTAAGTCGCCATGTTCAAGTTCGGATCGTAAATGCAATATCCTACATTTTCTGGGGCGGGGACTGCATTGTTCTGAAAAATGCATTCTATATGATGTTCTCCTACTGGTAATATTATAGTGAAAGATGTCTTTGATCTTTTTTCTGCGACCAAAGACGATAAGGAGGACACCAAGGACGATGATGCCGAAGGTGATTGAAGGACAATATTTTGCTATTGTGAGAAGGGGAGCAAAATACGTTATTGAGAACTGTACTACAGTATGTGATTGAAATATATCTGTCATCACAAATTACTGCTTCGTGCTAGGGCTGAAGTATTGGGACCTGCGTTGACATTGGGTGCATAATATAATACATCCTTCAACACTGCTATTAGACGTTCTCTCTTGAGTTAAAGGGTTTTGCTCTTTGTTAGTGCAAAGAACACCTTGATAAACACCTAGGTACAAATATACATTCTATTGTTCCCTGCTCCCCAAGCGGAAAAAGATGACGACACAAAAGATGATGGAGATGGTAAGACTGACCCTATTATTTCGCTCTTGCTTAAAACATGTGCGAATGGATTTTTCTTCTACGCGCTGGACGAAATTTTCGAAATACCTCGGGTGCTCTCCAATAATGTTTGCAAGAGCTGACCTAACTACCTATCTGAAAACGGTCATGGCCATTTTCCCAG